TTCTTCCATTTGCGAATAATCGCACCAACTGTTGTCACCTTCTCACCAAGCTGCTTGGCGATGGTCTTGTAGCCCATTCCAGCCTTGTGTAGGTCTACAATCTTGTCCCTGACATCCTTGGAGAGCTCTTTGATCTTGGCCATGGTGGAGAGTTTGGAATCTGATTGATTGATTGCTTCTGTGGACAGGTGTCTTTTACACAGGTAACAAGCTGAGATTAGGAGCACTCCCTTTAAGAATGTGCTCCTAATCTCAGCTCGGTACCTGCATAAAAGACACCTGGGAGCCAGAAATCTGTCTGTCTGATTGAGAGGGGGTCAAATACTTATTTCCCTCATTAAAATGCAAATCAATTTATAAAATGTTTGACATGCGTTTTTTTGAATTTTCTTGTTGTTATTCTGTCTCTCACTGTTCAAATAAACATACCATTAAAATTATAGACTGATCATTTCTTTGTCAGTGGGCAAACGTACAAAATCAGCAGGGGATCAAATACTTTTTTCCCTCACTGTAAACACTGGCTATATTCAAGGTCAGTGGAAGGTCATTTGTAAAAACAGAACACAATAATGGCCCTAGTCGGCTGCCCTGCAGTACAACACACTCAACTGAATTTGGCTTGCATTAATAAAAACCTTCTGGGTTCTATTAGATAGGTAACGCTCAATCCATAATAAGGCAGAGAATACAAATCCATAACACATACAGTGGGGAAAAAAAGTATTTAGTCAGCCACCAATTGTGCAAGTTCTCCCACTTAAAAAGATGAGAGAGGCCTGTAATTTTCATCATAGGTACACGTCAACTATGACAGACAAAATGAGAAAAAACATCCAGTAAATCACATTGTAGGATTTTTTATGAATTTATTTGCAAATTATGGTGGAAAATAAGTATTTGGTCAATAACAAAAGTTTCTCAATACTTTGTTATATACCCTTTGTTGGCAATGACACAGGTCAAACGTTTTCTGTAAGTCTTCACAAGGTTTTCACACACTGTTGCTGGTATTTTGGCCCATTCCTCCATGCAGATCTCCTCTAGAGCAGTGATGTTTTGGGGCTGTCGCTGGGCAACACAGACTTTCAACTCCCTCCAAAGATTTTCTATGGGGTTGAGATCTGGAGACTGGCTAGGCCACTCCAGGACCTTGAAATGCTTCTTACGAAGCCACTCCTTCGTTGCCCGGGCGGTGTGTTTGGGATCATTGTCATGCTGAAAGACCCAGCCACGTTTCATCTTCAATGCCCTTGCTGATGGAAGGAGGTTTTCACTCAAAATCTCACGATACATGGCCCCATTCATTCTTTCCTTTACACGGATCAGTCGTCCTGGTCCCTTTGCAGAAAAACAGCCCCAAAGCATGATGTTTCCACCCCCATGCTTCACAGTAGGTATGGTGTTCTTTGGATGCAACTCAGCATTCTTTGTCCTCCAAACACGACGAGTTGAGTTTTTACCAAAAAGTTCTATTTTGGTTTCATCTGACCATATGACATTCTCCCAATCCTCTTCTGGATCATCCAAATGCACTCTAGCAAACTTCAGACGGGCCTGGACATGTACTGGCTTAAGCAGGGGGACACGTCTGGCACTGCAGGATTTGAGTCCCTGGCGGCGTAGTGTGTTACTGATGGTAGGCTTTGTTACTTTGGTCCCAGCTCTCTGCAGGTCATTCACTAGGTCCCCCCGTGTGGTTCTGGGATTTTTGCTCACCGTTCTTGTGATCATTTTGATCACTTGATCATTTGACTTGCGTGGAGCCCCAGATCGAGGGAGATTATCAGTGGTCTTGTATGTCTTCCATTTCCTAATAATTGCTCCCAATGTTGATTTCTTCAAACCAAGCTGCTTATCTATTGCAGATTCAGTCTTCCCAGCCTGGTGCAGGTCTACAATTTTGTTTCTGGTGTCCTTTGACAGCTCTTTGGTCTTGGCCATAGTGGAGTTTGGAGTGTGACTGTTTGAGGTTGTGGACAGGTGTCTTTTATACTGATAACAAGTTCAAACAGGTGCCATTAATACAGGTAACGAGTGGAGGACAGAGGAGCCTCTTAAAGAAGAAGTTACAGGTCTGTGAGAGCCAGAAATCTTGCTTGTTTGTAGGTGACCAAATACTTATTTTCCACCATAATTTTCAAATAAATTCATTAAAAATCCTACAATGTGATTTTCTGGATTTTTTTCCTCAATTTGTCTGTCATAGTTGACGTGTACCTATGATGAAAATTACAGGCCTCTCTTATCTTTTTAAGTGGGAGAACTTGCACAATTGGTGGCTGACTAAATACTTTATTATCAATGACATCAAAAGCTGCAATGAAGTCTAACAAAACAGCTCCCACAATCTTCTTACTATCAATTTATTTCAGCCAATCAGTAATTTGTGTCAGTGCCGAGCATGTTAAGTGCCCTTCCCTATAAGCATGCTGAAAGTCTAAATTTGTTTTCTGTAAAATAACTTTGTATTTGATCAAACACAATGTTTTCCAAAAGTTTGCTAAGCACTTGTTTGAACCATTAAAGGGTGCTCTGCTATTCTTGGGTAGCGGAACGACCTTTGCCTCCCTTCATGTCTGAGGGCACACATTGTCGTCTAGGCTTAAATTTAAGGTGTGGCAAACAGGAGTAAAAATGTATTCCGCTACCAACCTCAGCAATTTACCATCCAAGTTGTCGGTACCTGGTGGTTTGTCCTTATGTATAGACAGCAACTATTTTTTTCACCTCTTCCACACCCACTTTGTGGAACTGAAAACTACTGATTATTTGGTCCATTAAGCATGAATATGAAGGCTCAGCATTTGTTGTTTGCATGTCATATCTAAGTTTGCCAATCTTGTCAACAAAAAAGTTATTAAAATGGTTAGCAATATCAAAGGAAGGAGCAGTTTGCTTTTTTGCCTATAATTTCATTTTAAGTACTCCAGAGCTTTTTACTATCATTCTTTATATAATTTATCTTTGTTCCATAGTATAGTTTCTTCTGGCAGTTCGAACAGTCAGTTTCTTGATGGGCGCATGCCTATCAGTAACCGGAAGAAGCAGTTTCATAAATGTTCCTCATTACACACATCAGACCAACAAATATTTTTCACATCTTCACATAGGAATTATTGCAAAACCTCTTGTATGATCATTTATACACAATTTTCGGTCCAGTCTTTGGAACTTCGGTTTTAGCACTTGGTGTTCTATAGCAACTTCCTACGACTCTAGCACTGCTAGCGTTATCTTGCTCTGTTAGCATGATGGCAACTGCTAACTATTGTGTATTTTTAGCAGGAATTCGGGCCCAGCCGAAAAAGCTAACCGCGTCGCAGGATCCTTAGCTATCAGAACTTCCAATGGTTCAAGATGTTGTTGTTGAAAACGATTTCATAAAAACAACAGGCCGAGTGTAGACAGTACACTGACCTGCTGTGCGCTCTGATGACGTTTGTTGCGTGATGTGTGATGACATATGCTCTTGAGTGTTTCTGAGATCTCAGTGACTTTTAAAGAGGGGTCTCAATAGGAGCATAGGGGGTTTAAAGGGTGTGTATGTGTGTTTATGTGAGTCTGTGTGTGTGTCAGTCACCAGATCTCAACCCAATTGAACACTTATGGGAGATTCTTGAGCGGCGCCTGAGACAGCGTTTTCCACCACCATCAACAAAACATCAAATTATGAAATTTATTTTTGGAAGAATGGTGTCACATCCCTACACTAGAGTTCCAGACACTTGTAGAATCTATGCCAAGGAGCATTGGAGCTGTTCTGGTGGCTCGTGGTGGCCCAATGACCTATTAAGACACTTTATGTTGGTGTTTCCTTTATTTTGGCAGTTACCTGCATGTAATAACAACCTTGTTCTCTCCTTCTACACACCAACACACATCTCACACAAAAAAGAACACTGTTCCCAAAATAACTGAATGGGTCGGTGTCACTTTGATAAATGCACAGTGCTGAATCTAAGTCAACATTGCACTGTGCGGTCACACACACTACACATTCAGACAAAGAAATTCACACGTGCGAGCAAACCCACAGATTATAATGTATTTTCATAATGGTGACTCAATGTCTTGAGCGGAACAGAAGGTAACTGGGTGAATTACAATGAGCTCCTATCTACCCTGAGTGCCCTGTCCGCAATAGACACACACACACAGTAGGCTTATACACACTCCCACATGCAAATGTGTATGACAAGCCATAACGAACACTCACCAAACACACAGTCAACATGCACACTGTGTACGTACTAATACTGAGATAACATCAATAAGAACACACACAAACTCACACCAACAACAACAGCCTGCTTAGGATGTTCACCAAAGATTCTGGGGGTTAACATCCAGACAACATTCAGCTTTCATTCAAAGCCACTAACAGTTAACACATATCAGCCTAATATCCAGTTTATGACCACCGCAGGAACCAAACCCCACGACCTTTAATAGACCACTCTATCCATTTCCATTTTACACTATAGGCTAGGCCTATTTACTGTGTCTATTAAACTTTACGACCACAGTCAATTGATATTCACCACCTGTTGTCTGAGTGGCCATTTCAAAATGCATGGAGATTTGATTGATGACCTGCATGGTCTTCAGGATGTTAAAGACACAAGTCAGAGTAAATGGATGTGATGCATCGTAGTAAGGTTTTATGAACTAAACAAGCCCCAATGGCTAAATCAGATCCCAGCTACGAGGGCTTAAATGCAAATGCCACCCTATTTCCTTTCCTATGTAGTGCACTACTATTTGCCAGAGCCATATAGGGCTCTATATAATGCCATTCCTGACACAGCCTATGATATCCCCTTAAAGGTTATGAGAACTAAGCAATAACTTCCTGCATACAGAAATACACAACACCAAAATTCCAATCTGCCATGACAAGACTGATCAACAAAGACCATGAATACAATGCAATAACACCCCAAAAATGCTAAACTCCTTTGCGACAGAAAGAGTTGTTCTCCCTCCATCGTTTTGATTCATACCTTCTTTACCCTGCCGTTGCGCGTGCCGGCGAAGGCCACAGTGTTGCCACGATAATCGTAGGCGGCCACCGAGGTCATGCCGTCATCCTTGTCGATGAAGAGCGGTATCCCTTCTATAGTGCTGGTCCCACCCAGCGGCTGGTTAAAGTCCTGGCCGCAGAAGTTGTCGTCGATCTGAAGAGGCTGAACGAGAGAGAGAGAAGCGTTAGGAGAGACGGCATAACAGTGGGTCTAGCCTTGAGTTAGCCGCGTTTTATACAGTACAATATCAGAGCACAGTTGCAGTTACAGAAAGACAAAGGAAAGAGTCCCAACAGATATGCAGTTTGCTATCGTGAACATGAGTGTGTAAAGGGTGGTGTAATCCAAAGTCTTATCACTACATCTGATTGATCCACAGAAGAGAACAGTTATCTCTTCCTCTCTCCCTCAGGTTCCTCACCATCTGCCTAAATTGCTTGCAACACGACTCTCGTCAATATCCCGTTTCTCCCTTTTCTACTTTCTTTCACTCCCGCTCCCTCCCCCTCCCACTTCCAAACCATCCCTTGGCCAAGAACTACAGTGGACGAGTACAGTAACTCTACGCATTAATATCCCCCTTTCTCTCTCCCTCCATTCCTCCCCCCCTCCACCTCTTTAACTCTGCATCTTTCTCTCTTAATCTATCCATCTCACAGCGGGAAGAAAAGCAGGGAGAGACAGGGAGAGACAGGAAAGGGACAGCCAGCTGGATATCAATTCAGTTAACAAAGACCCCTTGTTCCCCCTGCAGCCCAGTGGAGAGAGAGAGGGATTGCTGGTTTACGGGAACCTTCCTCGACTCGCAATGGGTATCTGGAGAAGGATTGGGAGGATTGTAGAGGAGTGTGTTTGTGTGTGTGTGTGTGTCCACATGTCCACTGAGCCATTACCTGAAACAACAGTCTTTTTATTCACTAATGGCCTTGGCCAGTCTCCCATCTGGACAAAACCGACTATACACACACACACTTCACTCCACTACAATCCTACCGATCCTTCTCCAGATGCCCACAGGGGCCATATTCAACCCAGTCATGAGAGAAGTGCAAGCTAGTCTCCATCAATCTGAATTTGAGTCGGGCACTTAGTCAGACACACGGTAGCCCCACGACACCAGAGCCTGGAGAGAAGGACCTTGAAGGGTTAATCCATCACGGGGGTGGATTTGAAAGGGTTAAGATACAGTACATAGTACACAGAGACAGCGGTTACGTCCCAAATGGCACCCTATTCCTTATATAATGCACTACTTTTGACCAGAGCCCATTGGCCCCTTGGTCAAATGTAGTGCACTATTATATAGGGAACAGGGTGCCATTTGGGACACACACCAGAGTTCTACTGGGTAGTGAAGAGTAATGGTATTCTTCTGGGTTTGAAAGCTGACCTATAGCCTACAAGAAGAAGACACACTTACTGTGGTGGCTAACCTACACTGGACGGTATATTTTCAAATTATAAAACTGGGTGGTTCGAGTCCTGAATGCTGATTGGCTGACAGCCGTGGTATATCAGACCGTATACCACGGGTATTACCCCCCCCCAAAAAAAAATGGTGCTCTAATTACGTTGGTAACCAGTTTATAACAGCAACAAGACACCTCAGGGGTTCGTGGTATATATGGCCAACAAACTACGACTAAGGGCTGTATCCAGGCACTACGCGTTTCGTTGTGCATTAGAAAAGCCCTAGCCGTGGTATATTGACCATATACCACACCCCCTCGGGCCTTACTGCTTAATTATGCACATGTGTGCGCACACACCAATGTTATTATAGTAAACTAAAACTGAAAAGAAAACTAAAACTAATCATGAAAAAATTATTAACAAAGCCGTTTGAAAAACTAAAACTATACTGATGCTATTATCTTTGACTCCAAAACTAACTAAAATAAAAACCATAATGAATTATGTTCCGAAAAAGAAAAGAAAAAAAACTTGGGGCAAAAATCGAATGGGGTTTTCAAGATTTTTCTTCTTCAAATGGGGTTTTCAAGTTTCTTAAATCTGGTGGGTAAATGCTGCCAGGTGATGGCAATGTTTCAAATAGGCCTTATGCATCACTATCAATCACTTGCTAACAGTGAAGTTAGCCTAGCCAAACGGCGAGCTAAACCAAACACGGAAGAGGAAGCGAGACATCCCACTCCCTCATTTTTTCTGGTTCATATACAGTCAATGAACCAAGCAGACCAGACCCAGCTGATAATGCATTGGTGTCTATGGTAGAGCCTAGCCGTTAGACAGAAACGGACACAGTTTTTTTCAATGTTAAACAGTCTGAGCGGGACCAGTGACAGACTTACCATTAGGCAGAAGAGGAAATTGCCTCAGGCCTCATAACAATAATACTAGTAATCTTTTTTTTTTTAATAGAATTTCTCAGCTTAAACAATGAGGCGCTTTCAGAGCCGGGCAGAGAAAATACAAATATTAAACTTTAACAGAAAAATTACCTAAGTTAACACATGTATTTATAAAAATACAGGTGCTGCTGATAATACTGCCATCGTCGTTGAGGCAGAGGAAATGTAAGCGTAGCCCATGTATCGGATGCGGTCTGGTCACGTAACCTAATTTTTGAAGTGATTTGTTTGACATTCAGATGAAAACCACCAGTGGTCGGTCAAGAGAGTTTCCTTCCACCATATTTATTTTGCGAGTCTAGGCGCTAATCCTTTTAAATCCAAGTCAAGTAAACCTAACCTATGAGCTGACCCATCACTTTATGCATTACTGCCCCCCAGTGGCAAGAAGTGTCATCCCAAAAAACACAAAAACTATACAACACAAATGTCTCCATCCTCCCAGGCACAGGCTACTTCTATCCCTAACACTAAATAATATAAAACTAAACTAAATAGAATTGTTTTATTAAAACTACAACTGAATAAAAACGAGTAAATCAGGTCTGGAAACTACTTGAAACTAAACTGAATTTCAAAGAAAAATTTGTAAAACTAATAAATTAGAAATAAAAACTAATATCTGCCCCTCCCCCCTATTCATTAAATGTGCGTTCATACATTTATACATGTATGAGTATGCATCATGCATGGATACACAACGGTCTGATTCTGTGAGTGGTCAAGTCCACACACACATATATAGACAGAGGTCCTGCTCTATAAATAAACACACACAAGCGAGGGCGTAACTAAATACACGCTGCCACATTCCACACATACACCAAAACAGCCTGGCATTTCACAGCACAAACTATTCATACATTCCACTGGGCTTCTCTCTCTGTGTGTGTGTGTGTGTGTGTGTGTGTGTGTGTGTGCTACCTGCCTGTATGCCTGCTCTCTGTCTCACTCAGTCTCACTCTCTCTGCACCTATTACCCTCTCCGCCTTTCTCGCTCATAAATTACCCAGAATCCCAGCTGAGCTTAAGGAGACATCGCTGGAGTCTCTTAAAGAGAAAGAGACTCCTCTCAAAGTAAATAAAAACATTTGTGCGCGCATCTCGGTCTGTCCCTCTACTATTTGCCCAACTGTGTCTGTAGCACTTTTTAAAACTAATTGGATTTTAAACAGCGCTTTTCCAAATGCAAATTTAAAGCACTTGGGTTAGGCACTGACACCAACGTCCAAAGCTTCATGGAACATGTCCTACTCGTGAGCTGTACTTCCAATAGCAAAGTGTATAGTATGTGTGTCGTGCGCTGACTCATCACCAGTGTGACAGACAGGCCAGGGGAAATCCCACTGGGAACTCCTGACCTACAGCCCACAGTCAAGCACTGTCACATATCACGGCTTAGTCACGGGGGGGGGGACATAGGGCATACACACACACACAACGATGCAGGTGCACCTAGCGCCACACACACACACACGTATGTGCATGTTTCACACACAAACACACAGTGCCTAGAATGACTAACACAAACACACACAGTTGTTTTAGAATACCGGTCATTACAAGCCAACTGTAAAATCTCTCAGGGGGCCAATCTCTCACGTCAGATAGGCCTATAACGCCATGGCAACGAGCAATGTGGAGATGGGAGTGTGATTGGTTGTTCCTACTTGTAACGAGTGGCCCTTGGACAAGCCTTGAATCGTATTTAAATGCACAGCTAGGTATTGTGTTGTGTTTCAGTCTTGTAAGAAAGACTGTTTATTTTCCACTGTGAAGGCAGCAAGCATTGGCACTACAGTCAATATTTCAGGTATCAGCTTCCCAAAAGTGTAAAAAACACTTTCAACATGTATCTCTGACTAGGCCTAAGTGATAGTTAAAGTCATGTTACGAGAATTTCTATCTCAATGTTTCAAAAATGAACGTATTACTCAGTCTGTATCCCAGAGGTTGTAAATCTCTAATAATCAGACCAAGCAGCCCAGCATACAATCATCAGGCTTTATTCATGAGAACGTTCTGAAACAAAATAGTCGTACAATATTTTTATACGCACACGTCAGAGGAAAAATCCCACCCCTCTTTAGGCGGGCTGTAGTTTTCCACTGGAAAACTGCTCTCCTGACCATCAGGTCACACACCACACACACACACACACACACACACACACAGACACATGCACTCTTCCAAGCCTAACAGTCTCTCTCCTCCCTAAATTGGGAATGCTCACTAACAGGGATATTAACACATTCGTGCACAAAATCTGAGAGAATTAAGCTTTTTGTGCCTATGGAACATTTCTGGGATCTTTTATCGCAGTTCATGAAACATGGGATCAACACTTTACATGTTGCGTTTATATTTTTGTGGTTGAAAATTATGATTACTATTACCATTCATATTTATCCTGCTACCAGTCACTTTTTACATGTACATATCTACCTCAATCAATCCAGTATATCATTCTTGTGGGGGTTTTCTCTCGTATTTCTTGTGTTTTCTTATCTATATTATTACATGTATTACTGCATTATTGGGAAAGAGTTTGGAAGAACGCATTTCACTGTACTGTTTTACACCTGCTGTATCCCGTGCACGTGACAAGTACACTTTGAAACTTGAAACACAAAACACTCACAGGGATCAATAAATAATTACACTGGCAATTAGTATCATTAGCATGGGGTCCGGGATGGAGATTTGTGAGCTAAAAAGGCCAGCGAGAGAGGGAGAGAAGATAGGGGGGTGGTGGGAGAGACGGAGAGAGAGAGAGAGAGAGAGAGAGAGAGACAGAGACAGAGACAGAGAGACAGAGAGAGAGAGAGACAGAGAGAAGAGAGACAGAGAAGAGAGAGAGAGAGATAGAGAGAGAGAGAGAGAGAGAGAGAGAGAAAGAGAGAGATAGACGAGAAATAGAGAAGAGAGATAGGAGATAAATCAGATACATAAGAAGAAATATATAGAGATACATTGACAGACATAGAGAGACAAGAAGAGGAGAGCTACTTTCCTACATCAATAAAAGGATTCGAAGAGAGGGACGATTTAAATCATTGCCGCCATTCCAATACATTTTTGGCGAAACTACCTTCAAACGGCACGCAGAGACATAAAAATGTTATCCTTAATTGCCAAATTATCGCACTATCCCTTTAAGGTCAGAGTGACAATTACAACTTATGTTTTAAGCAAACAGAGTAAGCAGTGGCTCCTCATCATCTCCCTACAGTGCAGTGGCTCCCATCACTTATATTTCAGATGGTGTCAACATGAATTAAAATGTAATTTTAAAAAGACACCAGAAGTTAACTTCTCACAGTCGTTCTACAACCCCCCCACCATCGCCACTGACAATTCTAGGAGAAACACTGATACGCAAACACACACACACAGGAAGACACACACACTTCTCCAATGGAGTGCTTGGTTTGGCCGTCATTCTAACCCAATACATAAAAATGTCTAATATTAGTACATTAGTATCTTATATAATAGGTTCAAACCAGTAATTCTCACACCTCAGCTCATTACGTCGCTCAATTAACTAAGAATCATCCATCCGGTGGTCGTCACTGCCGTCGTCCCAATTAGTCATGTTTAATGAGCTATGTGCGTTTACCGTCACATTCTGATAAAGGGAAGGGGGATAGTCCTGTGTTTTACATTTATCGTAATTACCGCTCAGAATCGCTAAGGCAAATATATTTAATAAGGTTATTAGTTGGCCTTGCTTGAGTTGAAACGTAGCAAATATAGTTTTGGAAGAACATAGCCCTTCCAGACCTGAGTTCAAATACTATTTTGTATCTTTTAGCATTTGCTTTAGCCTGCCTGGAGTTCTAGATTTTTGGGGGGAATTTCTATTGCGCGAGTCAAGCTCAATCAAGCACAGATTAAGTGTTTGAAATGTAGTATCTGAACACATAGTTGATTTTGAATCTGATATTGCAGCGTTATTTAACTTGACTTGCGTAAACTCAATTAAATTGTATTTCCCCCTGTATGGAATAAGCAAAGTTATGAAATTGAATAACGCTATTAGCGGATAGCATTAGCCCCAACAAAGCCTTCAGTATCTAGGCCTATCTTAATGTAGGTCTGTGTAGCAGTGGCGTCTCCTAATTACGGCCCAAATGCAACTCTACTCCCTATGTAGTGCACAACTTTTAACCAGCCCTTGTCAAGAGTAGTGCTCTATATAAGGAATTGGGGGCCATTTAGGACACAGTCCTAGTCTTTTGTATGGGCTCTAAGGAGTGGAGGCAGGACGGAAGTAGTTTAACAGATAAAAAGGCACATCTGCAACACTATCAAACTCCAGAGGCTAGATGCATGGAGAGAGTAGGAGATACACATCCGCTCTTAGTTTGAAGAGATACCAGTTGAGTTCAATAATGCTGTGAGTAGGCATCCTGCATAGTTTACCACACGCGTCCTGCTTAGTACGGGTCACCAGGCGTCTCAATCTCACTAAGATCCCCCCACGACGGCCTCTCCGTCTTCGTTTCCTACTCTCCGGTAGGAATCCCGGCGCCTCACCGAAGAAGCTAGACCATTGTTCTACCATCTCCGGGAATTCAGGAAGGTCAGGTGGACGGTGAGTACCCAGAGACTCATATTCCAATAGTTCTACACAGGTGTATGAAGTAATGCACGAAACAAACGTTGTTATAAAATTTGAGAAAAACTCGAAAAAAACACTAGCAATCCGTCGCCGCCATCTTAGCCAATAGTGAGTGAGAGAGTGAGAGAGTGAGAGAGGGAGAAATAGGGCGAGAGAGCAATGAGAAAGAGAGAGCGAGAGAGGGAGAAATATAGATGTGGGCTAGACCTAAGGAACGGTTGTGATCGTTGTAGACTTGTATTGTGTTTGTCTATTACAGACTTCATGAGAGCCTACACACACACTCAAAATCCCCCCCCCCCCCAACACACACACAACCATCCCCAACAAAGACTCACACACACTGAAATCACTACAGCGCCAATACTAATGGATATCCTCCACTATTCTATTCTCCTCCTATTCACTTCCTGAAGGCGTGAATGTCAAGATGTCACCTGAAGATGGTGAGCGTTATCTGGGATACTACCAGCCACCAGCTGGCGCGGAGGGTCAGGGGCAGCGGTAGAAAGCGCCTCCCCGTGAAAAGCCGCGGATGATTGAAAGGCGCAGCAGTGACGGTGACAGCCCAGCGCCAGGGTGACTGACACCAATATTATTAGTGCTGGAGCATGCGTTCAATCATCTCCTCCTGCTCTGTTGCTGATGGCACTAGCAGACACATGGCCAGCACAGGCTTTCTGTAGCTAGCTAGCATTCTCTAGCTTTCTCTTTTCATTTCTCTCTAACTCACTATTTCTGTCTCTCTCCCGTTCGCTCTAGCTCTCTATTTCTTCCCTCTCCACCCCACCCCCCCCACTCTCCCAATCCTCCACCCACTTGCTCTCCCTCCCCTCTCTCCATCGTTTCCCCCCTCTCCTAATTCTCCACCCACTTGCTCTCCCCCTCCATTTCTCCCTCCCTACTCCTCGCCCTTCCCATCTCTCTCTCGCTCCCTCACTCTCGCTCTCTCTCAGTGGAGAAATGGTTTTTATGGATCTACTCCCAGAGTGGTGGAAGGTCATAGCATCACTAATAAACCTCAGACAGATGAGATGAGGGCCTGAGAACATCGCCACTGGTTGAGGTCGCCTCGGCTAGCTGTGTTTGTGTGTGTGTGTGTGTGTCTCTGTGTGTGTCTGTGTGTGTGCAATATACAGGACAAAATTACATAATAAATATCTGCAACAGTGAACCTGTGTGAGCTTTCCACACACTCACACACACACCGTCCCAGTCCATTTACGGGGCAATGAGGGGAGCTGACAGTACGGGAGACCATTCATCATGATAGGCTGTACCCTTCAGCCGGCCAATTGCCTGCCTCCATCCGCCTTGCCTCCAAGCAGCTCTACACCAGTTTCAACTGCTTACCTCATCTACCCCCTCACGGAGCAATGGGCCGAAATCACCCCCAGACACTGAACTAAGGTCAGTTTTCAATGGTTAAGGTTAAGAGAGTGGGGAGGGGAAAGCTGTTCCAAGACCTGTTCTTACAGGATAACTTCTACTCAATGAGTCCTCAAGCCTGACCTGGCGACGCCACGGGATCAAGGGCCATCCAATCAGCTGAACATAGCAGCCCTTACATCACCGCTCCCACCAGGGCCGGGGAGCTGTGGCAACGAGTGGGCTTCAAAAGCGGGAATTCAGAATGAGTCAGTGTGGTATGGTTTGTGACTGATTAAGCAGATTGTGGGGTGTTATTTGAGAGAAGATCACATGGAAACTGGCTTTGGATAATAGTTATCCTGTGTAAATGCTTCTTGTGAGGACACATTAGTACGTGTAGAACCATAGCCCATTTCCAAAACGGTCAAAATAACACTAACGGGGAGAAGCGGAGTTGAGAAAGAAAGGGCGAACATGAGGACAGGAAATCAACTGTAGCTGAGGAGGAGTGAGGCGACCGGCTGAGTGCCTCAACTGGGCCATTCACAATTCCCTATTTTTTCTCTCTTCCTCTCTCTAGATTTAGAAATGACAGACGGCGTGACTCAACTAGGCTTTTCACAGCCTTCTTTCCCACTCTTTACATCCCTTTCTTTCAAGCACCTGTGCACTCTTGGTAATTAACTGTAATAAAGAGTAACCTGCTGTTGCTGCTGCTGTACTCATTTGTAGTCCATTATGTGCAGGATGTACAGCTGTAGATGGGCCTTCATTAGCATGTAGCACCTGTCGCCAAGCTGGGCCATACCGCTGTTTAATAAGAACGCTATATCAAACAACTAATCATTAGAGTGGTAGAGACTAAGAAAGAAAGAGAGGGGGAAAGAGAGAGAACGCACAAAAGAGGAAAGAAAGGAATGAATGAAAGGAGAAGTGGGAGAAAGAGAGAGATTGAGAAAACCAGCTGACAGGCTAAGAAAGAAAATAAGAAGTAGAGGTAGACCGTAGATGGAACAATAGAGGGGGAGTGAGAGAGAGAGAAAGAGGGATGACTGCTGGGAAGAAAGAAGAAGTGAGTGGGAGAGGAGAGGAAGAGGAAGAGGAAGAAGAAGAGAGAGAAGAAGAAGAGAGAAGACGAGAGAGAAGGGAAAAGGCAAAGGAGAGGGTGAAGGAGAGCGAGAGAGATGTGGACTGAGGGCTGTGTATTTCATTTATCTAAAGCATGCACAGCCATGCACCGTAGATCAGTAAGAGAACCCCAGCCAAGCCTCTGTCTTCGCTGAGGGGCCTAGTACTGCAGACAGCATCCGATCAACCCTCTCTCAATGAATTTGTGTGTGTGTGTGTCTGTGTGACTCATTTGAGTGACATTTCACAAATCCCAGGGACTGGGCTAATGAGGTCTCTGTTGGACTAAATCAAAGCACTCAGTGGTTCCAGGAAGAGTGGGAACTGGGTTCAGAGTCACGACGCTTCGCACTTCCTCTCGCTAATTACGACTGGCCTACAGATGGCCCCAGGCAGAAGTAGTGTAAGGGGACTAAAGCTAAATGCCAGCATCATGGCAGAGGGGTGTTGAGGAAGGCCCATGTATTCATCACCACTGTCTGAAGCAAAACCCTGACAATTGCAGGGTGGTTGTAACTACGGTCTCTTCAAGTTCGACAGATCTCCAGTGAGACCACAAGGTTAGCCATTAGAGCTTAGGCCTTTTGTTCAATGCTCTCTGAAAACAGCATGGTGAAAAATAGGAATCAAAGTGAATTTAATTTGAGTGACATATCAGAATTGAAGGGCAGTGAATTGAATCAGAGAATCAAATAGAGATCAGTGGTGTTATGACTCACCGAGTTGATGCAGGCCAGCTCCTTGTTGAGCAACCAGGGCAGTGACAGCCTTCCCTCTCCCCTGTAGCAGGACTGGATGCGCTCCTTGATCTTCTCCTTGATGCGGCGTAGCGTGAACAGGCACAGGGCCGACTCCTTGGGCGGTTTGGCCCGGTTTTTCTGGCCTTGGGAGAAGACCGTGAACAGGATGTCCTCATCTTCTGATATTTCTAAAGAGTCGGCCAACTGCTTCCCGGGCCGGCTGAGGTAGGCGTCCTGGACGAGGCGGTACTCCACACCATCCTTGGTGCAGCCAATTGGGAACTCCACGTACGAATAGAACTTGGGGTCGTCCACGCAGAGACGGACGATCTTGGAGGTGAAGAACTGTTCGCCGGAGACGTCGGGCGAGGTGAGTTGAGTGTCCAGCTGCATGGTCAGGTAGTAGACAAACTGCTCGCTGCTGAAGCTGTAGATGTAATAGATGTCGAAGGCAGGGAATTTGCTGAGAGTGTCCGAAGGGATCTTTAGCTGCGAGGAGACAAACTCGTCCTGGTAGACGAAGCTAAACATGTCGGCGTTCTCCTCATTGGCCATCAGCTTGCGGCTGGAGAGCGTGGGGAAGTACTCAGACTTGCCGTCGATGGGCGTGCCGATGAAGAGCTTGCTGGCAGGTCCGTGCGGGGAGGTGATGATGACCCCGGACATGGTGCCGGACTCGGCCACGCTGGACAGGTAGTGCTCCTTACGGTGGTGCGGCTCTCCCAGCTTGAACAGGTCGTCCAACCTTAAAAACTGGCAGATGCCCTGGGAGGTGCTCCCGCAGGCGATGAGCCGGTTCTGGGCGTAGTCAATGAGCAGCAGCTTGTTGACATTGCTGGTCTGGGCCAGGTCGTGGGGGCAGGACTGGACGCTGGGCGGGGGGTAGCACTTCTCATTGTCCACCACGGGTCCCGTCATGTGGCTCCGCAACTTGGTGAGGTTGCTGGAGAGCTTGAAGATCCAGTTGACCGAGCCGACATAGACCTCCCCCGTCTTGTTGTGGATGGCCAGGTGTGTCAGTCCCCAATCGGTAGGGCAGAAGGTTTTGAAGGCCTGGGGTTGGCCTCCTGTTTGTGACGGGCCTGCCAAGAGGACCAGCACCCCAAGAAGGAGCATGTTCCCCAGGTGAGGGGCAGCGAGTGACCTTGGTAGGGGCCACATATCTGTGACTTGCGGGAGGGCAAGGCTGGGGGAAGGGATGGGGGAGGTGGGTTCACTCCAGCACCTAGTCCGGCTCTGTGTGTGTTTAGCTATATTCCCCTGGAAGGAGAATGGATAGCGGAGGGAAGGGGGGAAAAGCTCCTATTGATCCGGTGTCCTTTTCTCTGCGTTCGGAGCTGTCATCCACAGCATCATCCACAATGGCATTGGTGGGAGCCCTGCAAGGCAAAAAACACATTATGAGTCACGATGGAACATTACCTATTGATTATGCATCAGCCGGGGAACCTGAAAGCACACGAGATACGCTGCCAAATTTAGACAAAAGTCAAGACGACATTCAACCACCCCAGATGAATAAATTACACAAATTCAGGCCTGTATGGCATATCCGTGACTACATTCAATTATGAAGGGAGATAGCTAGCGAGAGCTACAGGCATATTACAAAACACACGGTAGAATAATGCGAGTCACACTGTGAGGAGTTAGAGACACACAACATCGAGCATTTGTATATTTCATATGTTCAACAGTATAGTGAGGGTTTGGGGAAGGTCTGCTTAGAAAATCACCGGAGTGGGTACCTTTCTATTGACACCACGCAATTTGTATCCAGGTCTGCTCCCTCCCAGGCCTCCCCGTGTGCAGTTGCTGCATGCAGCATCAGCAAACTACCCAGCATTCCCCTCTTCTCCTAATTAGGCCCTCATTCTGCCAATAGCACCAAGGCATGGTTGTCAGTTACTCTGTGTCAGATCTGCAGCTCTCTGATGGCCAAAACATGTTTGCTACCCTGAGGGAGGTTGAGTAAAAATGATGATTCATGTTCATTATGCTCCATCGGGATGTAGAGAACAGTGCAAGCTAGAAAAAAAAGGGAAATGAAAGAACGGGACGGATCGAGACCCGAGACAAAAGTATACTGCACACATCTCAGACAGATGAATTGCTGTTGTTGTTGTCATTGTTGTTGCGGCTCCAACAATACAAAGCACCATTTCCACTCCAGCCAAAGCTTCTCTTGCTAGCTCGCCCACCCAACCTAGTCATCCACTCCCAGCAGTCAAATGCTAAAGATCTGCTCCCATCCAAACCAAAGCAACCCCTAATTGTCTGAGCCAAAGTTCCTGGGCCCACTTGGCTATTCCCGGTGTGGGAGTGGGATTGACTGGATTTAGCTGCATTTAGCCCTAATTCCACCCCCCTTGATCATCGCATTTGCTAATTCTTCTAAATGAAGTGACACATGTGCCAGCACTCCCTCGGCTTCCATAGCTTCCAAGAGTTGGATTCCCTTGGCACGGAACGTGCACAAGATACAAGATAGAGAGAGGGCGGAATGGAGGGAGGGATGGGGGGATTGATTGACGGGGAGGTGGAAATAATGGATAAGGACTTTAAATAATTTATTTTGGGTGTCTTCTAGGGACAATGATAGCAGAGAGCTTTGAGTTGGCTAGTCTCAGCACTGCTTGACAGACCAATCATGTTCCGGCGGTACCGGGACATTCGTTTTCCTGTAAATGCTGATTATGCAAAATGTGTGCGGCAACTCTCAGAGGCCCGGCTTAATTTCACCTCGACTATGAAAGTGTCAGCAGAGGGGTATTTTATGACCGAACCAAATCGGGAAAGACGAAAGACGATGGAGGGAGGGAGGAACAAAAACATGAGATAGAGAAAATCTAAACTTAAGAGACGGAGGGAAGGGATAATAAGTGATTTCTTCCTTCCCTTCTCTTCGGTTTTCCTCCTGAGAGTGATTGAGGGGTTGGCCTATCTGTCAATCAGTCCCCAAGGATGCATGAGGTAGTACGGTCAGTATACAAATGTCTGTCTGTGTGTGTGTGTGTGTGAAAGCCTAGACAAGATGAATGTGCTGTGGAGAGACGGTGCGAGAAAGAGAGAGGGGGGGGCCGAGAGAGAGATAGAGGGGGAGGGAGGCGTGCGGAGAGAGAGACTTGCCGAGAGAAGAGCGGCGATAGACGAGAGCCGGCCGAGAGAGAGAGCGGGCGAGAGAGAGAGAGAGAGAGAGCGGGCGAGAGAGAGAGAGCGGGCGAGAGAGAGAGAGGCGGGCGAGAGTAGATAGAGAGCGTGGCGAAGAGAGAGAGAGCGGCGAGAGAGAGAGAGCTGGGCAAGAGAGAGATAGTCCGTGGGCAATAGAGAGAGCGTGCAAGAGAGAGGTGGCGAGAGAGAGAGGGGGCGAGAGAGAGGATAGCGGCGAGAGGAGAGCGGGTCGAGAGCGAGCGGGCAGAGAGAGAGCGGGCAGAGAGCGACGGGCGAGAAGAGCGAGCGGGCGATAGAGCGAGCGGTCAGAGAGATAGCGAGGGGAGAGAGGAGAGAGAGTGGGCGAGAGAGAGAGAGAGTGGGCGAGAGAGAGAGAGAGGAGAGAAAGTGAAGCGAAGGAGAATGTGCGAGCGACGACACAGATGAGCGGCTCCACCTGCATTTAAATAAGGACGTGGGAAACCCTAATGTGGCTTACGCCGATGGAGAAAACCTAGGTTCAATAAATGCACACAGCGCCATATGGCTGTGCATCTATTATAACAAAACTCCTCTGCCTGTGTCGAAGCCTCTTCAACATAAGCAGGCGCAATAAAGTGTGAAGTTAGCCTATAAATTGGGTTTTTTATTGCACAATGGTACGGTTGCACCGTGCACCGAGAGCAGATGTCAATTTAAAGGGTGGTTGCGAGGCCTATTTTCGTTTGTCATTTCCGTGAAAGAACGAGAGGGAGAGAGCGAGAGAAACAGAGGGAGAGGAGACCTGTAAAAGGTCGTCTCTACAGTAATTCCTCTTCATTTTCAGCTGACATGACTTGACGTAACAGAGCGTGAATGGAGCAACAAATTGCATCTGCCTGGGTCCCTAGCTGGTTGTAATCTACCCAAGTAATAAGGGAAACGATATCAGGGCAGACTGTCTGTGTCCAATGCATGCTGTTGCAAAAGACAATGTCAACTCACTCACAAAGGCTATTTCTATAAGGGGCTAATTCTAGCGGTACATGCCCAGCAAAATTCTATGGCCCTATCCCTGAGTCAGCTTGAGATGGGAAAGGAGGAGAGAGCAAGTTGGTAATGGCCAAAATAAAAATGACACCTAACTCCCCAACTTTCCCCAGTCTTGATGGAATGATTAACAGATGAGGAAATTGTCAATCCCTCCCTATAAAGAATTCCCCACCACTTCCAGGTTCGTACAGATTTCCTCTGTCGTTTTTCAATTTTCCTTTTACCTCTTCAGTTTCAATTTCATCTACCATGTTGAAATGGAAAGGCTGTAGAAAAAGGCTGAGCACCATATTGGGGGAAGATCAGGAAAACATGTCAATCATTAGGGATTTTGGCGAGTCTCCCTTTTTAACCCATCGGTAGAGAATCTAGAGTGACATCTAGGCCTGCACTGTTATCACAATCAAGTGATATAGAAAAGGCAAAAACAGTACCGTGATTGATTGGTTTTCAGTTTGTTTATTTGGGTTAACAGTGGTTGGGCTTAGCGGCAGAGGGAGATCTGAGGAAATTACACAGGCTGGTACAGGTGTCTGTATGTGTGTGCAGCCCTTCAGAAGAATAGGAGGGGGGGGGGGGGGGGGGGGGGAGAATCAGAAATCTGTCCTCTCTCTCTCAGCTATCTCTTTCTTAGCTCTACATGCTCTCTCACGCCTATTCCAAGTAGCCAGGCGCATACAGCTCCTCGATGCTAAACCTGTCCGCTCAGATAATGGCCCCTGCTTGGCACTGGCGACCGGCTGATTTATTGCCGGTGGCATATCAATTATAGCACTTGCCGCTAGCGGGGGAGAGCAGAAAAATACCCAAGCGACCGACTCCACACGTAGAGCTCAAGCAAATTCTCTCCTCGCTGCATTTTTCACGTGGGTCACATCTGGGCCGGCGGTGCTTCTGCATCTGCATTGCTTGCTCTCCGGGGTTTTAGGCTGGGTATATGCATAAGCCCTTTGTGACAACTAAAAATTCAATACATTTGATTGTAGGAAAACCAAGCGTTGCCGGACAGACGCTGCAGCAGGAAGAAGGGAGTGGGGGGGAAGACCAAGAGAGAGAGAGAGAGAGAGAGAGAGAGAGAGAGAGAGAGAGAGAGAGAGAGAGAGAGAGCGAGAGAGCTCGCACCCCACTACTAGCAGTATCCTAAATACTAGGCTATATAACCACAGGAATAACATGCATATGCCCCTCTCACTCATATACACACACAGCACTGTGGGCAAGTCTCTCAAGCTCTTATCTTTACCATGCACGCTAAAGGCTTGCCCTTGTCGCGCCGAATGTGGATCTAGGTTTTAGGGACCACCCGCTGCAGTCTGACTTGACTGCCAACAGTTTTCAAGCGGTTCTACATGTAAAATCGGTGCGCACTCGGTTCGCAAATTACGTTCAGAGTATGCACAATTGAGAGCATCCTGTTGGGCTGTATCACCGCCTGGTACGGCAACTGCACCGCCCGCAACCACAGGGCTCTCCAGAGGGTGGTGCGGTCTGCCGAACGCAATACCGGGGGCAAACTACCCGCCCTCCAGGACACCTACAGCACCCGATGTCACAGGAAGGCCAAAAAGATCATCAGGGACATCAACCACCTGAGCCACTGCCTGTTGACCCCGCTATCATCCAGAAGGCGACGTCAGTACAGGTGCATCAAAGCTGAGACCGAGAGAATGAAAAACAGCTTCTATCTCAAGGCCATCAGACTGCTTAATAGCCATCACTAGCACATTAGAGGCTGCTGCTGCCTATTGAAATCACTGGCCACTTTAAGAAATGGAACACTAGTCACTTTAATAATGTTTACATATCTTGCACTACTCATCTCATATGTATATCCTGCATTCTATTCTATAATATTCTACTGTATCTTAGTCCATGCCGCTCTGTTATTGCTTGTCCATATACGTATATATTCTTAAATTCCATTCATTACTTAGATTTGTGTGTATTGGGTATATGTTGTGAAATTGTTAGATATTACC